CCAGATGGTTGGACATTACCAAAGTCAGATTGATATATTCTCTGCAGCTGAAGATGGAGAAGCTGTATATAGTCAGCAAAAACAACACCGGGAGTTTACTGTGGCTCAGATCATGATCTCCTTATTGCCAAATTCAGATTTAAATTGAAGAAAGTAGGGAAAACCACTAGACCATTCAGGTATGACCTAAATCAAATCCCTTACGATTATACAATGGAAATGACAAGTAGATTGACCGGATTAGATCTGATAGAGTGCCTCAAGAACTATGGATGGAAGTTTGTGACATTGTACAGGAGACAGGAATGAAGAGCATCCCCAAGAGCAAGAAACACAAAAAGGCAAAATGGTTGTCTGAGGAGGCCTTACAAATAGCTGAGAAAAGGAGTGAAGCTAAAGTCTTCACTTTAGGAGGAGAAAAGGAAAGATATACCCATTTGAATGCAGAGTTCCTAAGAATATCAAAGAGAAATAAGAAAGCCTTCCTCAGTAATCAATGCAAAGAAGTAGAGGAAAACAATAGGATAGGCAAGACTAAAGATCTCTTCAAGAAAATTAGAGATACCAAGAAATATTTCATGCAAATATGGGCTCAATAAAGGACAGAAATGGTATGGACCTAACAGAAGCACAAGATATTAAGAAGAGGTGGCAACACTACACAGAAGAACTGTACAAAAAAGATCTTCATGACCCAGATAACCACAATGGTGTGATCACTCAGCTAGAGCCAGACATCCTGGGATGCAAAGTCAATTGGGCCGTAGGAAGTATCACTATGAACAAAGCTAGTGGAGGTGATGGAATTCCTGTTGAGCTAGTTCAAATCCTAAAAGATGATGCTGTGAAAGTGCTGCACTCAATATGCCAGCAAATTGCAAAACTCAGTGGTGGCCACAGGACTGGAGAAGGTCAGTTTTCATTCCAATCGCCAAAGAAAGCCAGTGCCAAAGAATGTTCTAACTACCGCACAATTGCACTTATCTCACACATTAGCAAAGTAATGCTCAAAATTCTCCAAGTGAGACTTCAACAGTACCTGAACTTCCAGATGTTCAAGCTGGTTTTAGAAAAGCCAGAGGAACCAGACATCAAATTGCCAACATCCATTGGATCATCAAAAAAACAAGAGAGTTCCAGAAAAATTTCTACTTCTGCTTTATTGCCTTTGACTGTGTGGATCACAACAAACTGTGGAAAATCCTTAAAGAGATGGAAATACCAGACCACCTTACCTGCCTCCTGAGAAATCTGTATACAGGTCAAGAAGCAACAGTTAGAACTGGACATGGAACAACAGACTGGTTCCAAACTGGGAAAGGAGTAAGTCAAGGCTGTCTATTGTCACCCTGCTTGATTAACTTATAAGAAGAGTACATCATGAGAAACGCTGGACTGGATGAAGCACAAGCTGGAATCAAGATTGCCGGGAGAAATATCAATAACCTCAGATATGCAAATGACACCACTTATGGCAGAAATCGAAGAAGAACTAAACAGCCTCTTGATGAAAGTGAAAGAGGAGAGTGAAAAAGTTGGCTTAAAGCTCAACATTCAGAAAACTAAAATCATGGCATCTGGTCCCATCATTTCATGGCAAATATATGGGAAAACAATGGAAACAGTGAGAAACTTTAATTTCTTGGGCTCCAAAATCACTGCAGATGGTGTCTGCAGCCATGAAATTAAAAGAAGCTTGCTCCTTGGAAGAAAAGTTATGACCAACCTAGGCAGCATATTAAAAAACAGAGACATTACTTTGCTGACAGAGGTCTGTCTAGTCAAAGCTATGGTTTTTCTCAGTAGTCACGTATGGATGTGAGAGTTGGACTATAAAGAAAGCTGAACACCGAAGAATTGATGCTTTTAAACTGTGGTGTTGGAGAGGACTCTTGGGAGTCCCTTGGACTTCGTGGAGATCCAATCAGTCAATCCTGGAGGAAATCAGTCCTGAATATTCATTGAAAGGACTGATGCTGAAGCCGAAGCTCCAATACTTTGGCCACCTGATGTGAAGAACTGACTCATTAGAAAAACCCGGATGAATGGGAGGGATTGGGGGCAGGGTGAGAAGGGGGCAGCCTAGGATGAGATGGCTGGATGGCATCACCAACTCGATGGACGTGAGTTTGAGTAAGCCCAGGGAGTTGGTGATGGACAGGGAGGCCTGACATGCTGCAGTCCATGAGGTTGCAAAAAGTCAGACACGACTGAGCATCTGAACTGAACAGATCTCTTCTATTGTAGCCATTCTAATGAGAGTGTAGTAATATCTCGTCATTTTAATTTGCACTTTCCTGGTGACTAATGGATTTGAGTACCTTTTTATACATTTATTAGCCATTTGTATATCTTCCCTTGTGAAGTACCTATTTAAGCCCTTTGCCTATTTGCCTACTGTGTTTTCTTGACTTTCCTTATTGATTTGTAGGGTTCTTTATATATTCTTTGTTATATGTTGGATAAATGTATTGTGAATATCTTTTTCCTCTCTGTGACTTGCCATTTTATTCTCTTAGTGGTGTCTTTCAGTGAATAAAATTTCTTAATTTTAGTGTAGTACAAATCATCATTCTTTTAGTATTTTAGTAATTTTCATGTGTTATTTAAACAATCATGCCTACCCCAGTGGCCATGAATATATTCCCCTAAGTTCTCTTCTAAACGCTTATTGTTCTATCTATCACATTTAGATCTGTAATCCATATGGAATTATTTTTGTGTATAGTATAAAATATAGGAGACATTGTTTTCCTCATTGTGAATGCCCAGTTGATCCACCATTATTGTTGGCTAGCCCATCCTTTTCTCACTGTCAAAATGGCAGCTTTCTTAAATCAGATCACAAGATACGCCTGTTCAGAATCCTTCAGTGGCTCAGGACTAAGTACACGCCTCTCACACGGCTGCTTGCCGGCATCTGCTTCCTTCTGGGCTGCAAGCCCCGGTTGATTTTTTCTGCCTGTCCTTGGCGGACACGCTGGCCTCCTTGCTGTTCCTCAGGCTGCCAAGCGCACTGCTGTCTCAGGCCCTTACAGGTGGCGTCCTTCTGCCTAAAGCACTCTTTCTCCATGTCTTAGCCTGAATCACTCCTCATTTCACTCAAGTCTCTGCTCAAATGGGGGTGTTCTTTCCTTAAACAGAACCACTCACTACTCCATATAACATTAAGAATGGGAAAAAAGGTATAAGCTTCCATTATAAGTACAAGAGACGTAATATATAACATTAATTAACACTGCTGTATGCTATATATGAAAATTGCTGAGAGAGTAAGTCCTAAGAGTTCTTATCACATGGGAAAATTTTTTTTCTATTTCTTTAATAAGAATTATAAGATGATTGATGTTCACTAAATCTATGGCATGATACCTTAGAACTCAAGTCCTAAATATAACATATATGATAATTCATGGTTTTCCCTGTTTTGTCACATTAGCCCCAAATAATTTGAACCTGATTTATTTCATAATTTGATGAATTGTGATGGAACATCAGTTTTTGTACTTTAAGAAAAAAAAGGGGGGTAGTGTGCAGCTTATAAACTCTTAACTGTTTTACATGGAAACAATGCATAGATCAAGTTCAAATGAATTTTATCTATGGCTAAAGAACTTAGAATCTTTTCAGAGCTTCAGAGACTTTATTTTTCTCTTCTAACAGTAATACTGTGTTTCAAGGTATTTTTTCCTAAACATTCTATAATATAAGCTTAATGATTCTCACTGACCTGCTTTCTCTCACTGGGGCTATTTCAGCGGTACAGGGTATATAATGGGCTTCCCTTGTGGCTCAGTTGGTAAAGAATCCGCCTGCAATGCAGAAGACCTGGGTTCAATCCCTGGGTTGGGAAGATTCCCCCGGAGAAGGGAATGGCTACCCACTCTAGTATTCTGAACTGGAGAATTCCATGGATTATATAGTCCATGGGGTCGCAAAGAGTCGGATATGACTGAGCAACTTTTATTTCACCTCATTTCAATGTGTATATAACATTTGATTTTGTGGCAAGAGTTAGATCTGTCTTTCATTTGTTTACTTCTTGATCAAAGGCATTTATTTCCACTATTGATTCCATTTGTTTTCCTTTTCTTAAAGTTTAAGGTAATATCTCAAACATATGATTCTTTTATTAATTGTAGGATGTCATAACAGAGCACAAAGTGGGTTTTAAGCTTACCTTATCTAGCTATAAAAGACATTACTGGTCAGTTAACAAAACTGGAAAACATTTGGTTGGTTAAAGTACTGTCACTGATAAATTTTGTGAAGTTGATTGCCGTGTTATTGGTATGTAGAAAAATAGCTTTATTCTTAGAAATATGCACTTAAGTATTTAGGAATACTTAGGTGCCATGGTGATGAATTTACTTACCCCAAAATGGCTTAAGAAAAAAATTGTGAGTGTGTGTGTGTGCATGCACATGCGTGCACATGCATGCTTGTGTACAGCAAAAGAGTGAGCGCACAAGCAAATTATAAACCAAATGGGGCAAAATAGTAACAACAGGTGGATCTGGTAAAAAGTATATTAATGTTCATTATACTGTTAATATAACTGTTCTGCAACTGTGAAATTATCTCCGCATGAACAGTTGAAAAAAATCATCTTCTCCAGCTCTCTCGGGAGAAGCATGCAGTGCTTATGACACAGAGATTAAGTTACTTTCTCAGCCTGAGAGACACAGAACTGACCCTCAGTCCTGTGTCTCTGTTGTACTGAGCTGCCTTCTTTTAATAAATAGTCATTGAGTTCTAACCAAATACAGGGGCCACTGATCCTGCTGTGTGGCTACATAGGACACAGCCACACTTGCATATTAGTGACGTGGCTTTGGGTTTCTTTTTAAAATATTTTTGCCATTTCCTGGTCTATCGTGCCACCTCTGGCCTCTCTGTTACCTGGATGTCTTGTTATTAGACACCCCGCCCTTTGTAATGAGACATGCCTATGTTTGCATTTTCACACACAGTGGTTTTGTTCTTCTGTTTCTTAATAGCTACCGGTTCTTGGGATACATTTCTCATGCTGTGGAGTTTCAGGCCACAAGCTAGAGCTTTCAGATACGTGGGTCACAAGGACGTTGTCACCAGCGTGCAGTTTTCTCCACTTGGAAACTTACTGGCATCAGCTTCACGAGACAGGACCATTAGACTCTGGATCCCTGATAAGTAAGAGAAGAAGACCTTCTTTGCTGTGGGTTTAGAAATGAAAGGGTAACTGGGGCTGAGCGGTGCACTGTGCCCCTTGGATTGCCTAACCCCCCAGTTACCTGTACATCTTTAGTCTAAGTCACAGACGAGGCGTACTGCCTGGTAAAAGTATTTCATACCATTTTTTCCTCATCTTGAACTCATAATTGTGTCTTCTACTTGAAAACTATTTCTAGCCACGGAAATATGCTTAATAATGTCTTAAGTGTTTTTGTGGGAGAGGCAGTTTGGGAGGGTGATGGTTATCAATCCCTTTATAAATCTCATGTAAGCTTTACATCATCTCTGCAGAGAGATATACATCGGACTGCCTAACCAAGATTTTACAGTTTATGGTGACTCAGATGATAAAGAATCTGCCTGCAATACAGGAGACCCAGGTTCAATCCCTGGGTTGGGAAGATCCCCTGGAGAAGGGAATGGCTACCCACTCCAGTATTCTTGCCTGGAGAATCCCATGGACTGAGGAGCCTAGTGGGCTGCAGTCCACAGGGTTGTAAAGAGTCTGACATGACAGAGCAATGAACACTTTCAGTTTCAACCTACTACCTTTTCAAACCCTAGCTGAAAGTCCATCTATTTTAAGCAGTTATTGAGCTTTGATTATTTTAAAAGTTTTTAAACTCTTAAATTATATAGATTTCAAACATATATGAAAATAGAGTAGATAGCATGACAGCTCCCCACCATAACCATCCACTGCATTCAGTAATTCTTCAATGTTCTTATCAGTCTTGTTTCATCTCTCCACCCCCTTTTTTTCTGGAATATGTACATATCAGATCACTTCTCTTTAGATAATAAGAAATGTTTTCCATCACTCTGTAGGGGCGGGATTTGATCTGTGGTTCGTGCCTGAATGGGCTCAGGCACTCCCAAATAAATGAAGGTTCCTGAAGCATTTCCCTGCCAGTGGGCACTTTTTTCCCTGCCACGGCCCAAAGGAAACTCCAAACTGAGAAATCTGAACATTGTCTCAAGGCAGCAAACGCTACTGAGGAGAAGTGACGTGTTGACATGTTCTGACACTACAGATAGCAAGCAGTGTAAGAGGGAACTGTAAGGAAGAGAGACTGGCTCAGGGTCTAAAAGGGAAAACATTTTTAAAAGCCTTGACTTTGAGAATTTAGGACTAGTGGTTTGCTGTTTTTCAGCACAGCCTCCGACTCCCATTGCTACTTTGGGGCAAGCTCAGTGAGTAAACCACTGGGTAAATGAGCTAAAAGCACACGGAATCATTAATTTTCACTGCCTGATCTAAGCACTACAATTAGGCTTGTGTAGATGTGTCTAGTTCCTCTTCCTAAATCATATCTCAGCAGGCCAGGGCAACAGTGGGTCATGGTGATGAGAAGGAAACTGATGAACCAGTTATCTGTTGCTGCATAACAGTCCCCAAACTTAGTAGCTCAAGTCAGTAACTATCAATTCTCCCAGTTTGGGGGCTGTCTGGACGATTTTCCCACTGCCCCGTTAATGTGGGCCGTTAGGCAGCTGCATTGCGCTGGCAGCTGGGCTGGCAGGTCCAGTGCCTCCGTCAGAAGCTGGTGGCCTCGGTGTTGGCTATAGGCTGGGCACCTGTGTCCTCCACATGTCCTTTCTGCAGCAGCATGAAAGGGCGTCCTTACAGCCTGGCAGCTGTAGGATCATCAGAGCCGAAGCTGCTCGACTGCTTCGAGGCTGGGCCTGGAACCTGCATAGTGTACCTTCTGCCACATCCTGTCGGCCACAGTCAGTCACAACAGTAGCCTGACTACGACTCGAGATTTGAAGGAGGAGAAATTGGTGGATTCTGCCACCGGTGGGGAAGAGTGGTGTGTGTGCGCGGGAGAGAGAGGAGCTGTGGGCCGCCAGGTGAGCAGACCGACCCCACAGCTGGTGGTTGGAAGGCTGAGAAGGAATAGCAGGAGCGAGCTGGGAGGCGGGTCTGGCTGGCGTTGGTCACGGTGGGCGGTCAAGAGAATTCGGGCAGAAAGGGCAGGTACCTGTGTGGGAGGTGGAAAGACTCTGTTAAGGCAGGTGAGGAGCTAGAAACCAGCTAAGCACCAGCACAACAAACACGAGACACTCTTATCTCGGGTTCTCACAATACTTCCTGTTGGGACCGGATCTGGATCCATCAGCTGGGCCTGCCTATTGCTAAGAGGAGGAGCTATTACAAAGAAGGCAGACAGGATAGACTTCCTGAAGTGTGGCGGGCCCAATAAAGATCAAGGCAGATTCTGATGGTACCGACTATCCTTGGCTTCCTGGTCACATTAGATGCCATCTCCTCTTTGTTTACTCTGGGCCTTATACTGAGAATCAGCCCATGCTGTCCTCCTGACTTCTGCTCAGAACATTCCCTTGAAACCTCACTGGACTAGTCCCCGAATTCTCCCTCCTATGTTATTTTAATTATTCGTGGTGAAATACCACATATCAGGTGATGGAGATCTATGACAGAGTCGCCTCTGCTACAGACCACTGGAAGGGAAAACTAGGATGGATCTAAGAACCATTTAAGTATCGACTCTTCCCAGCAGAATTCAGCAAAGCATACTGAGCTTTTTTTACATGCCTGATGTTGTGCTCAATCCTGGTCTTTTAGCGATAAGTAAGTCATGATTCCTGTCCTCAGAAAAATTACTGCCTAATAGGAGAGAAGCAGGTCTATTTTATAACAAACATTACTGTATAATATGATAAGCAAAATAGACATGGCAGATAGGGAACAAGTAAGCCTATCTGGGTTGGTGAAAGGGGGGTGGTTAAGAGGAAGCAGTCAGGCTAAGAAAGCAGCTAGTACAAAGCCAGAGGATTGTTTGAGGCAGTGTGGCTCTGTTAACGGTACAAAGGTCAGTGCAGTTGCAGGAGGTCTTGCCAAAGAGCTTGGGCATTGTACTTTTTCTTGGAGAGCAGCCTATGACACATTTACACTGGGATTTATATGCCTAGAATCACACATTTAGCAAGTCTATAAACACAGTATGTAGGTGACTGGAGGGGGATAAAAGATTAGAGCAGGGAGACCAGTTAAGAGGCTTTTGCAGTAATCTAGGTGAAGGATACAGAGGGTGTGTATATCCACCTTAATACGAGCACAACTGGGATGCAAAGAAGAGAAGGGATTCAGAAGATTTTTAGGAGGTGATGGCTGTCTGATTGTCACTAAATAGGTCTGCTGACCCCTCGGATACTGGGGAAGAGGAGCTGGGTGTAACTTCTAGGCTTCTGCCAGTTCTGCTGCCTAATCTTTTTAACACACTTGTGGCAGTTTTTCCCATAAGGCATCACCTGTATAAATGTGACTTTCTGAATGGAAAAAATTGCTAAGTCTAAATGTGGTATAAAGTGAAAGTACCTTGGGAAAGTGGAAACGCTGACACAAGGTAGCATTTCTTGAATGTCACTGTTTATAACTCCAGTTCCATCTACTAGCCTGCCCCGAATCATTTCAATACTTTTCCTGCTGCTGCTTCTTAAATGCCACACATTATTTTCATCATTTTTTTTTCTTCCCTATTTTCTTTTCTGTACCCTAGCCAAGAAAACGAAAGAAGGTATCTGAAATTTCAAGGTGTTGAGAATCAAAGTTTGTTATTACCATTTGTCTTTTGTTTTGCTTGTGAATGTAAGATTGGGCTCAGAGGTGAGCAAGGTCTTAGGTACACCCCAGGGGTCTCAGTTCCCATTGCTGGTGGGTCAAAACAGGAGAGTCAAATCACCCAGGGACATTCTTTGTCAAGGCATATGACACAGAGGACATTTCCTGCTTCCCAACCCAGATTGCCAGCCCACACAACTTCCATGTGAAAGTTTGAAAACACTGCCTTGAGCTCTTTATTTAACGAATCTTAGCTTTGCTAGGTTGCAGTTTATTTAAATTGTATATTGCGGCCTCTAGAGGAACAACAGGAACTTAAAATACATGGTAGAGATTTGTTCAAAATATCATTTCCTAGCTTCCCGTTAAAACAAAATCAGCAAATGAATTTCCGGGTCATGACCACCAGGGTCTCTGTCTTGTTAAGTATCAGCTGTGACTTCAGTGAACAAAACCGGCTTAAACAGTTCTGATGCAGAGTGCAGTACAAAACAGCCTTTCCACACTTTTTGTCAGTTTTTATGAGTTAAACTATGGTATATGTTTCAAAGTCTGTATACTGATGAGATCTTGATTATAATTAAATCACATGTTATAAATATTAAACTATTTATTTCCAGGAGAGGGAAATCCTCTGAATTTAAAGCTCACACGGCTCCAGTTCGAAGCGTGGACTTTTCAGCTGATGGCCAGTTTCTTGCTACAGCTTCTGAAGACAAATCTATCAAAGTATGGAACATGTATCGCCAGCGCTTCTTATATTCCTTGTACCGACACACACACTGGGTTCGCTGTGCCAAGTAAGTGCAGGGTTTCACTGTAAGGTTTCCATATTTTTTTTTTTTACTGCCGTAGTCTGTATTTTATCCCCAAATCCCAGAAAAGGGGATTGAGGGCAGATTCACTCATTCATTTATTTATTTATTCATCAAATGTTTATTGTGTGCCAGAAATAATAATAAACAAAATGGTCAAAAACTGCCGCTCTCACGAAGCTTATATTCTAGGCAGGGGAGACAGAGAATAAGCAAATAGGAAACTCGATATGGTGGGTCAGATGGTGGTAAGTGCTATGGAGAAAAACAGAGTTGCTGGTTTAAACAGGGTGTTCAACGACTGCTCCCAGAGAGGGTGACCTTTGGGCAGAGGCCGAGGGGAGGGCAGGGAGTGAGGGTTGAAGATGTTTGGGAAAGGAATGTCCTGCATAGAAGAAACAAGAGTGAAAGCCCTCGGGCGGGAGTGGGTGGCCATGTGAGGAAGAGCAGGAAGGCAGGGGTGGTGGCGAGGGTGGGAGCGTGGAGGAATAGCCCTGCTGGACAGGTGGAGTAGATGAGCCATTGGAGCCTGATCCTCTCTCTGACTTACAGTTTAGTGGGATCTCCCTGACCACCATGTGGAGAGTAGACCATCAAAAGTCAGGACAGAGCTGGGAAGCATGGGCTCTTGCACTTGTTCTCATCTCGGTTTGGTCCACGGTAGTGGCATGGTTGGATTTTAGATCATTTATTCAGTTGACCCTTGAATAACGTGGGTTTGAGCTGCAGGGGTGGTTGGTTAAATCCGCAGATGCAGAACTGTGAATATGGAGGAACCTTGGGTTCCTAGGGTAAACTAAATTCCACATGGATTTTTCACTGTGCAGAGGGTTGGTGCCCCTAACGACCATGTTGTTCAAGGGTCTACTGTAGTTAAGTTACAACCAAAAGTACTTGCTGTCTTATTGGATGGGATGAGAAAAAGAGGAACCAAGAATGACTCCATAACCTTTGGCAACAGTCTGTTGGGACAAGTGCTATTATAAGTGTTGTTAGCATCTGCTAACAGCCAGGGAGCCCTCTATTTCTAAGACACGCTGCTACAGAACTTAAAATATGTATCTCCTTTCCTTATCGAAATTGGCCTGGGAGGGAAGCACTTTTGCTTTAAATCCCTTATTTAAAGTGTGATCCAAGTTCTTTTTTGTTGATGGATCTGTCCTACTGGCATGACTTTGCATTTAGAGGGCTGGCATGAGACAGTCCAAGTCTTATTTGAACTCATACTGCTGGGGGACACCCTGTGCTAAATACTGGTTTGAGAATGAAGCTGATTCTTTCAGAGGAGAGTGGAGCTGTGAGAGGAAGCCGGAAATTGCTGTCTAGTTACATGGTGTGGTTTCGGGATAAAGCCATACCTGGAATTATTAGTAAGGGAAGGGGAGGAGAGGAGGAGGGAGACAGAGATATGAGCCTTAAAACATTTCCTTTCACTCTTTTTTTAAAAGGCACTTTCCATAGGAAATGATAGTGAAGCAGAGTTTGGAAAAGCGGGAGTGGTCCTTGCATACCGTCCTGTGCACTCATAATATCTGTTGTATCTCCAGCCCCAACACTGCCTTCATTTTCAGCATCATTATCCCTTATGGAGACTTTTGCAGTAAACCTCGATCATTTATTGAGGCTTTGTTCGTTTTCTCACACTTATGTTCTCTTTGTGCTTCAATTTGCATTGTTTCTATTGGCCTATTTTCAAGTTCAGTGGTACTTTTTCCTTGCCATGTCCAGTGTACTACAAACGTATCCATTTCTCTGAGATTTTCCATTTGTGTGCTCATTATGCTCATTGTTTCCATTAAATTCTTGAACATATTCATAATAGTTCCTAAAGTCCTTGTCTGTTAATTCCAATATTTATGTCATATCCGAGTCAAAATTTTTGCTTGTTTATATTTTTAAAATTTTTTGTTGTATGCTCAAACATGGCTAAATGTTTGAGAGTATGAGTTACTCTATCATCTTCTAAAGTGTTGAGTTTTGTTTTGGTAAGCTGTTACATTTCTGTTGGCCTAGCTAGATTGTGTTGGATATAGACTTTTTAGGGTGGATCTAGAGTGGCTTCACTCTTGTTTTTTTCCAATCCTTCTTGTCCTGAGCCTTATCAGGTTTGTATTTGATCAAAGACTCAAGACTTGGGTAGATTTGGAGGTATTTCTGCTCTTCACAGGTCCTTTTATCAATCCTTTCCTCTAAATTCCAGCCCTTCAGCAGTTCTGAATTCTAATTGCTGTTTATCTGCCCAGTGAGACTGCAGCTGCTTCCATGGGCTCTGTGTCCTTAAGCCATGCCTGAGAAATGCTCCCAGGTAGAAATTTGGGATGCATTTGGTGCCTATCTCATTTGTTTTCTAGCTCTCAAGTTTCACAACCCTGTTCTGTCTCTCATCAGTGCCTAAAAACAACAGCTTCGTATATTTTGCTGAGTTGTATGATTTTTTATAGTAGGGGAGTAAGTCATTACTACCCTTTTCAGAATGGGAAGATTTGCCAAAGGAATTGAGTAGAAACTTACAAGCTGATTTAAAAATTCATATGTATGAATTAAATGTCCAAGAATAACCAAGAAAAGAATGACCAGAAAAAATTGAAAGAAGCTTGTGTAACCACTCCTAGAACACAGTATAAACCTGTAGAAATTAAAATAAGACAGTCACGGTACCAGATTAGGAAAATGGGTCATAGAACGTTCAGGTGCAGATCCGCATATGTTTTCTGATAAAGATGGTAATTCCAATCAGTGGTGAAGTAGATGAATAGTTGTTAAAATGTTAAGATGATATTAAGTAGTTATTTAATATATTAAAATGTATGTATGTATTTCAGATAATTAGATTTGGAAAAATTTAAAGTTAGATCTGTATTGCACACCACACATTTACAAAAATTACAGATGAATTAGCTTGACATTAGAAATAGTCTAAGTGATACTGCTTTTCCTTCCAATGCATTGACAATGTATTTAAATGAATGTAGAGGGTCAACAGAGCAGTTATTTCTCCTTTAACTATTTGAATTTTAAGTGTGCAGTGGACTTAAGTAATTAAAATTCAGTATCTTGTTTCTGGGCCCAGTTCTGACTATGAGTCTGTCCCTGGAGCCCAGACTCACTCCATATGGCATAGATGCAGTGCCCGTTAGTGTAAGAACAGCTGCTGTGTTTTCTAGGCTAACTATTGTTTCAATCATACATCTTGATTCACAGAGATTTTTTTTTAAGATATGTTTTCTATTGGGAGATATATTCAGGCTTTAAAAATATAAATTAGTATAGTCTTTTTAGAAATCCATTTGAAAATATATCAGGAGTCCTTGTTACAGTGAGTTCACAACTGGAAATCTATCCTAAATAGATTTATTCAAATTTCTTATTCAAAGAAAAAATCTGTATTTAAAGATAATGTTTTCAGTATAATTTATAATGATGAGAACTTGGAAATAATCAAGTTCTCCAAGTAGAGAAAGCTGGTTAAATAAACTCAAATGATTATATAGCTATTAAAAGAAGATATGTAAGTAGTGACTTGAAAATGTGTTTGGGGTAAGAGGGGCAATATTCAGAACTCATGATTATAATATAAAAGATCTATACATGAACAAAAGATAAAGTTCCTACATAGACACAATATTATATGATTTTGTTTGAGTGATGGTGCTATGGGCTGTTTTTACTTACTATATTTCCCAGCTTTTTTAAATATGCAAGTTGTCTTTAATGAGTAGTGAAGAAAACATGTATTGTTAGAAATATCTACATATGCAAGTGAGAAATACTTATTTTTAGTGGCAGAAGAATTTTTCTAAAAGTTCAATATTAAAAAATAATGTGTGCTGTGGGGTAACTTGTGTTTTTTTATGGTATCTTCAGTCAAGTAGAGGCCAACAAAACAACTTTTCCAACATTGTTTCTCTAGCAATAATTTTCATGGGGAAAATCTGACCTTAATTTTCAGTTTTTGGTTGTGTTACAAGTGATCTTTGATCCTCTGAATTGCAAAGACTTTTCTGTATTTGGGTAAACTATATATAGTATAAAATTTACCACTTAACCAATTTTCAAGTGTATAGTTCAGAGGCATTAAGTACGTTCATGTTGTGCAAATAGTTACAAAAGTTTTACACATCAGCTTTCACTGACTGTGTGTATGCGTGCTCAGTTGCTCAGTCGTGTCATTGACCATAATCTGAAGTTAGTCCCAATCCCACTGAAGTTTTTTAATGCTCTACCTATTTACTGAAAGGCATACTCAGTACTAGGGGCTTCCCTTGTGGCTCAGCCGGTAAAGAATCCGCCTGCAATGTGGGAGACCTGGGTTCAATCCCTGGGTTGGGAAGATCCCCTGGAGAAGGGAAAGGCTACCCATTCCAGTATTCTGGCCTGAAGAATTCCATGGACTGTGTAGTCCATGGGGTTGCAAAGAGTTGGACATGACTGAGCAACTTTCACTTTCACACTCAGTACTGTGTACTGTGTCTGGGGATACAGCAGTGAATAGGACAGATAGTCTCTCTCCTCCCAAGGTTTACATTCTGTTAGGGAAGCAAATGGAATAACTGGCTGTGTGGGGAGCAAACCTACTGGGGGAGGATCCTGAGCAGAGACTTGAAGGATTTAAATTGATTTAAATCCTCTTAGATATTTAAAGGGCTTCCTTGGTGGCTCAGATGATAAAGAATCTGCCTGCAATGTGGGAGACCTGGGTTCGATCCCTGGGTTGGGAAGATCCCCTGGAGAAGGGAACGGTTACCCACTCCAGTATGCTGGCCTGGAGAATCCCATGGACTGTATAGTCCATGGGGTCACAAAGAGTCAGTATTTGAAACAAGATAAAGAGGAGGGAGCAGTGTTTGAAGCAAAGCGAACGGCATATGAGGGACCACCTGGGGCAGGAACAGAGAGAAGAGGGGTGCGGCACCAGGAGTGTAACGTGATGATGAAGAAACAGGAGGGCAGATCCTCGAGGCAGTTTTTCCCATGAAAAATGTGAA